CTACTTGTCTTCTTACTTCTCTCTATATATGTACGTAGATCTTTGTTAACCTAACAAGTTGTCTACTTGTCTTCTCTCTATATATGTACGTAGATCTTTGTTAACCTAACAAGTTGTCTACTTATCTTTGTATTTGTACTTAGGATCATCTGCGTTTTCTGTATTCTAACCATGACAAGGAACAACTACTGTTATTACATGGTGTTATAGACAAACCAGACAAGGAACAACCACTATTATTAAATATTGTCATTGACAACCCAGATAAGGAACAACAACTATTATTAAATAGTGTTATGGACAAACCAGACAAGGAACAACTATTATTATTAGATATTGTCATTGACAACTCAGACAAGGAACAACTACTATTATTAAATAGTGTTATGGATAAACCAGACAAGGAACAACTACTATTATTAAATATTGTCATTGACAAACCAGACAAGGAACAACTACTGTTATTAAATAGTGTCATTGACAAACCAGACAAGGAATAACTACTGTTATTACATAATGTTATGGACAAACCAGACAAGGAACAACTACTATTATTAAATATTGTCATTGACAACCCAGACAAAGAACACCAATATTATTAAATATTGTCATTGACATCCCAGACAAGGAACAACTACTATTATTAAATATTGTCATTGACAACCCAGACAAGGAACAACAACTATTATTAAATAATGTTATGGACAAACCAGACAAGAACAACTAGTGTTATTTATTGTATTATGGACAAACCAGACAAGGAACAACTACTATTATTAGATATTGTCATTGACAACTCAAACAAGGAACAACTATTATTAAATAGTCTTATGAATAAACCAGACAAGGAACAACTACTATTATTAAATATTGTCATTGACAAACCAGACAAGGAACAACTACTATTATTAAATAGTGTCATTGACAACCCAGACAAGGAACAACTACTGTTATTACATAGTGTTATGTACAAACCAGACAAGACACAACTACTGTTATTACATAGTGTTATGTACAAACCAGGCGAGGCACAACTACTGTTATTAAATAGTGTTATGGATAAACCAGACAAGGCACAACTACTGTTATTGAATAGTGTTATGGATAAACCAGACAAGGCACAACTACTGTTATTAAATATTGTTATAGACAAACCAGACAAGAACAATTAGTGTTATTAATAGTGTTATGGACAATCCAGACAAAGCACAACTACTGTTATTAAATAGTGTTATGGACAATCCAGACAAAGCACAACTACTGTTATTAAATAGTGTTATTGACAACCCAGACAAGGAACAAATACCGATTCGTCTCTGAATAATACATTCCATAACTTATCGTTTGACCAATCCCAGAGCCCTTGACACCACTGAATACGTGGTGATGGTATAAGTTATCTGGTATAAAGGTCAACCTTATGAAGCGTGTTTCTGACCGATTACATGCTAACTTATTTTACATTTTATGAATCAAACGGTTGATTCGGACTCCCTCCAATTCATTGGAACCCATATTGCCAAAGAGCGTCATCTTGAAAGACGACAGTTGTCTGACCTGTCGATCTGATTGGTGTTCTAAAAGTAAGTAAACATCCTAATAACATTGCTTTGAAGAACTTGTAGATACCGTGCAATGACTTGTTGTGGTTGACCAGCTTCTAGCTGATCTGTTGCTCTCCAAGCTATAGAAATGTATTTCTTGGAGTTCTGGCACGTATCAGTCCAGTTCTGTTTACAAACGCTGCTTCTGTTCAAACTGCTAAACAAGAACAAGTTGCAGATCACGTGACTGGTCAACTAACGCTTGTTGCATAAAAAGAAACTCAAAAGTTGCCATATACACTATTTAATCTTGAGATACGTATATTTATACAAAACTTTGATTACATGAATATTTCAGGCCAACCTTTCTCACGTGGACTCGTGGAACACAATCCCTGGTATAGGTAACGGTGTGGCCAAATGTCCCTTTGATCCTGATGATAATGCGACAGCCGTGTGGGTCGGTAAGTGTCTAGCTGTTAAAAAACTATAACAAAAAATATTTTGGGTAAATTGATGCACATATATTTTATGAGTTAATTTCTTATTGAAATTATAATAATTTTAATGAAATTTCACGTTCGTGAGTTAATAGCAGAATCTTTAGAGATGAAAAATTCGTTCCCAGCGTTGTTGTGATGAATTGGTCGCTCAGTTTGTCGCAAAAGTAGACCAATCTTTAAATTTTAATTACCACCTATAAATATATATATAAACTAAATGCACAATTTATATCTAATTTTGATTTTTGTATTTCAATTTAAGTAAGTTTCTTGCTTGTTTTATTTGTCTATATATAAGTGATTAAATTTTTATCATATATTAAAAATTCGTCTGATTTCATAAAAATAAATATCAGTTTGACCAAACTTACCCTAATTACTGACTATATGCTAACGTCTCTGTTATAGAATTTTTTTTACGTGTTACTTTGAAATGGGCCCGGCATGGCCAGGTGATTAGGGCGCTCGACACACCAAACATGCTCGCCTTTTCAGCGTTATAATGTGACGGTCAATCCCACTATTCGTTGGTAAAAGAGTAGCCCAAGAGTTTGCGGTAGGTGGTGATGACTAGCTGCCTTTCTTTTAGTCTTACACTGCTAAATTAGGGACGGCTAGCGCAGATAGCCCTCATGTAGTTTTGCGCGAAATTCAAAACAAACAAACAATACTTTGAAATGTACTTGTGATTAAACCACGTACTAATTTATCAAATTACATCTTGATGAAACTATTCAACTTTACCACTGTTAATACTAATTTTAATCATAATTTTTGAACAAACCCAAGGGTTAAAGATAGGGGATCCATTCTCATCTTTCTGGGTAAGATTCACCCGTAACGTCTTCTCTGACATCTCCGACAATAGTTCAGAAGATTCTTTCTTCATTCAAGTACTGAGTTTTTTCAAAGAAAATCTACCTGTTTTTAGAAGTTCTGGTTTACTCAAACAGTGATAGTTTTTTAACACGAATATGGTTCTCAGTTGAGATTCAACTCATTTTCCCGCTCTAAAGTTCGACATTTATTGAAGAAATAGACCAATTAAATCTTGTTTTTTTATCATGTATTGGATCCTCTGAACCTTTGGTGGAGAAAATAATTAACGATAATTTAACCTGATTTATTGTTTCATTTCCTACGCATCTTAATGTTGTGTGTGTGTATGTTTAAAAGCTAAGATCGAAATAGCTAAAATAACAAACTTTGCTGAAGACTACTTTTGTGTTAAATTTTGGTCAGACATTATCCACGCTTCTTCCAAACAAGTATTTAAAGTATAGCTATCCCGGTTCTATCTACAAACTTGAATGGAGGGACGGCACAGATTTCCACAGAATAAAATCCAGAAGAAAAACGGATGTTAAATTAAAGGAACCTCTTCGTCCCCCTTCTGATATTTTCAAACTTTAACAAATCACACGATTCACGAAGAAAATGGTGAATCTATTGGAAGAATTAAAGAAACTTTAGTTAATAAGTATCTACACCCACCCATCAATAGTCATCTACACCCACCCATCAATAAGTATCTACACCCGATCATCAATAGTCATCTACACCCGATCATCAATAGTCATCTACACCCGATCATCAAGATCGGGTATAGATACATATTGATGATCGGGTGTAGATGACTACTGATGATCGGGTGTAGATGACTACTGATGATCGGGTGTAGATACTTATTGATGGGTGGGTGTAGATGACTATTGATGATCGGGTGTAGATGACTAATCAATAAGTATCTACACCCGATCATCAATAGTCATCTACACCCGATCATCAATAGTCATCTATACCCGATCATCAATAAGTATCCACGTCTCCAAATTTATTTGTACCAAAAAGTCCTGGTGTGGCCTGATGGTTAAGACACTTGACTCACAATTTCCAGGTCGCAATATCGAATCCCAATCATCGAACATGCTTGCCTTTTCAGCTATGACAGCGTTATAATGTGAAAGTCAATCCCACTATTCGTTGGTAAAAGAGTAGCCCAAGAGTTAACGGTGTGTGTTATTGACTTGCTGCCTTCCCTCTAGTCTGTCACTTCTAAATTTGGTATTCCTCGAGAAGCTTTGCATGAAATTTAACAAAGGAACGTTCTAATTATTCTCTACGTCATCACAATAATACGTGCTTGAAGCTATTAATATATTCTACCGCTAGGTGTTACCTGAGATATTTAAGTTAACTTGGTCGAAAAGTTGCCTCTGTTGTAGTAAGGATTTCTTCACTACGTCTAGTTTGTTACTTATTAGAATTTCAAATGGTCTGAAATTAAGTTAACTGATAATTTAACTTTAGTAGTTAAATTGTACTTTGGATTTAGTATTTGAATATATGCCGATATATAGTCAGTTTATGATATTTGCCAACAAGATTGATACACACAGTTTTCTTTTTTAACACAAGTACGTTTTAATATACACACAACAATACAATTTACAATAACAGTTATTACAAATAGTTATTACAAACAATAATTTATAAACAAAAGTTTCACAAACTTGCAAGCAATATAAATTTTTATTTCAAGTCAGAAACTTATTTGATATCTGATCGAGAGTTCACGATGAGTGAGTTGATACAGGTACGATTCGCTTAACGGGAAACTAGCTAGCTTTGTCCTTCACTGATCACACGCCGATTTTTCCACCGGTGACGTTAGGTAATGTTTTCTTAAAAATACTAATGTCCAATGAGAATCCACTGAAGTTAAATGAGTTGTAATGTTCAAACTTTGTAAATGCTTCTGGTCAAATATTTGAAGTTTTCCGATTGGTAAGCGTTATAACAATCACAGTTATAGCTTCCGAAGTTTTATAGCACACTGACCATAGCAAACTAATAATAGATACTCTCTTTGGCACGTCGCGTTGGTTATATTTATAACCGTGTGGAGGCGTTCTAGAAATTTCAGTTTTACGTAACAATACAAATTTGAGCGTTTACATACACATATATATTGTTGATTCTTACTTTCGAGAATCTTCTACAACTTTGGAGAATAGGTGGGAGTTTCGCAATATATATCTAACACTACAAGCTATGCATGTTTTTAAATATAAACTTAATCTAAACAATGTCGATATTAAAATAAATATAACAAATTCGTTACAAGTTTTATCTGTTTTTATATTAAATATTCCAAATGAAAGTGAAATGGCTATATTAGCCATTTACATCATTTAGGCCAGAAAACATAGCAGCTCATAGAATGAGCTCCGAGTTCGTTTGTTTTTTCAAGTACAAACTTTTAGCTTATAGCTCCGTCATCTCTTAACCGATTTGAGATCTAATTACAGTTTTGGACCCAGTCATTCCGGTCATTTAGAACATCTATAGTACAACGAAACCATGTGTTCATTCGTGTCATTTAGAACATCTATAGTACAACGAAACCATGTATTCATTCCGGT